CTCCACTGTCTAGATCTTACTATGGAGAGGAGAACCGGTTCGATCCCTACCATATGAGTAACTCAAGGTTGTTTTATTCAAAACCATGCTCTCCTGAGGAGCAGTACTATCCACCAAGGCCATACCATACGGAGGGTCGTCGACGCCCGCGAATGTCGCAGGCCTTTTCAGATGACTGGTATCGCTCAAGTATATCTGGTTACTCTAACCAGTCCTCTCAGCTCACACCACCAAGAGTTAGGCAAGACCCCAGTATTCCTCCGTGGTTTACTAAAAGCTGTTCGGAGACAAGTAAACTAGGAGCAGAGGTAAAAAACCACTCAAAGTCTTGGGACAACATTCTATATCCACGGCACGAAAGGGAGCAATCAGTGCCTCGTGGACGGAGCTATGAAAACCTGTTTCATCAAGCAAAGCAAGCACCATCCTTTGATGTGACATCACAGCCTGTTATTCTTAACCTCTCAAGTTCACCAAGGCGCTATGCTGCCCTTTCGCTCTCTGAAAGCTCTTTAGAAAGGGGCTCAAGCAATCCGTGGAGGAATACCAAGAGCGGCCACTGGTTTGTAACTCCTGAGATCACCATAACAGATAATGACATATCTGCCGGCAACAGAAAGCGGCGAGATGTGCACACTGTCAGCTGGGATATGTTGGATGGTGAAAAGAAACCATCTCAGAGAGTATCGCCTCCTAAGCAGCCACAAAATACACCTGAAATAACCAAAGAGAGGAAACACAACAACTTCTCCCTCCAGCAGAGTCTAGAGCAACTGGACGAACTCTTAGCTGATTTGGTGATTGATTACAAACCACCAACTAGCAGAAAATCAAGCGTTGACCTTTTAGACCAGCTGAAACAACTCATTACTGAAGATGACGGCAAAGACAGGGACTCTTCTGGTATTGAAAACTTCAACTCACAACTCCCATCCTCCAAATCCAGCCCAGACACACTCAAAGACCTTGATAGTGGATGTGATGCTTTTCAAAGGAGTGCAGAAGAATGTTCTCCAGACCATAGCACAGATGAAGACGACACTATGGTGTGTGCTAACAAAAAGTGCAACCGGGTCGAGAGTATGTTCAATGCCTGCTTGTACTTCAAATCATGCCACAGTTGCTACACATTTTACTGTTCACGAAACTGTCGCAGGGATGATTGGGAGATCCATAAAGAGACCTGTCTGTATGGCCGGGTGACCAGTGTGTGCCGACACTCTCTTAAGTTCTGCAGAGAGAATTCAGAGATCCACAAAGCCTTCTCTCGCGTTGCTAAAGCTGGCTACCTGTCCAGGGGGAGAGGAGTTCTGTTTCTGGGTTTTGCTAATCCAGAGACAGCTGACAACTTCCTCCAAGTGGGGCTTGAGAGCCTCCTCATGTCTCCCACATACTTATCTCTCAGAGAGCTGGATGGCTTTAAGGACAACCTAGGCGAATACTGCAAGGATCTGCAGCTGGCAGGTAATGAGTATGACCCCAATGAATGTTTCCTTCTGAATGTATCTGTAGCTGTTGGTGAACTAGTGCCTAACAGACCTTCACCAAGGGTCCAAGCACCAACAGTTCGAAAATATGCAAAGGTTTCCCTGGCCTCCTCAAGCCCTGACAAAAAGGTACTCAGGAAGGATAGTGAAATGGAAACCCTCATCCTCACTCCGCCTCCAGGCACACCGGACATTGACAAAGAAGGGGAGAAGGGGAGGAAAGCCAGAGAGGTGTGCTTTGTCAACATCCAGCGGGAGCTCAGGACGAGAGGAGTCTTCCTCCGACACGAGTACCCCAAAATCTATAACCAGCTGTGTGAGTTTGTGGAGAGCAACAAAAGGTTCACTCCTACTACAATTTACCCAATAGATCGGAGAACAGGTAAACAGTTTATGTGCATGATCATGGCTGCGTCCGAGCCAAGAACACTGGACTGGGTGGGTACCCCTCACCTCTTGGATGATATTATATAGTAGAGCACTAAACAGTAAAGATTATGATGTCAGAAACTGTACATGCTGTAAATACATGGTGTTGTTTAGCAAATTTGACATTGATATAGGAACATGTTTATATAGTATGTGACCAATCTCTCTTTCTGTCCCTCTCTTCTCTTATTTCGCTCTGTCTCCACACAAACACACACAACCACACACACACACACACACACACACACACACACACACACACACACACACACACACACACACACACACACACACACACACACACACACACACACACACACACACACACACACACACACACACACACACACACACACACACACACAACACACACACACACACACACACACACACACACACACACACACACACACACACACACACACACACACACACAGGCCAATATGCTCTCACTTTTAAAGGTTGCCCTATGTTGTTGTTTTTGGCTTGGTTTGGATCCTGTTGCACTCAGAAGAGTTAATAGCCTGCATGTAGACTAGGCAAGTTATCCAGGTGTTTAAGATTTGAACGTGTATGTTTTGTGCAGTTTCAACTGACAATGTATGAAGCACACACTCTTTATGAAGTACACATCTCAATGCCAACACAATATAGTAGGCACAGCCTGAAACATTCATCCATTATTGATTTCTCCAACAAATGTTATAAGAAATGCATATTATACCTTGTTACAGTGGTTGTAATATTACAGCTGTTTCTAAGTATTTTTTCCTAAGTATACTATAGTTATGTGGAAACTTTTTTATGATTGCCATATTCATTATTGTTTGATAGAATATGAAGTACAATCAAACCAACTATTTGTTTCCCACTTCATTAAGATTTTAAGTTGGAACTTATATCATCTTGTGGTAAGACTTGATGTCATTCTCGTAGGAATTGCTTTGTTTGAAAGTGGCCTTCTGTCGGGAAAAAAATGCATTTGACACAAGGCAATGTGTGTAATGAGTTAGCTAGTTCTTAACGCTTGGGAGATCTTGATTTAGGATGTTTGAAATACTGATGTAAATGAACAATTATTTTGCTCAAAGCATGTTATTTTTATTCAGGTATTTTAATATGGATATTGCTTATAATAAAATGTATTATGTTAAAGAGAAACCATTTGATGCTTAGAAATAAAAGAGGTATATTATATATTATATATTGAATATTAGATAATTTGAACATCATGATCTTGAGACCTTATTGTAACTAATACACCAGTTCTTAAACTATATGCAATAAAAGAGCAACCAATACCATCTATTGTAAAATGCTATTTTATTATGAATATTAAAGAATTCCCTGGAGCCAAGAGCTGCAAAGACTTTGTTTGCACAAAAACATAAATTATAAAACAAGAATGTTCCTAACAGCTGCAGCACTGATCCCAGATATGATGCTATGCCTGCTTCCATTGCCGCTGTTGACTAATCTAAGGTTGCTCTTTTACTTGATTATATATATCTTTGTGCAAGACTTTCTGGAAATTTCTATTTTGTGATGTTTATAACCCATATATAAATATATAATAAATGGAATTTAAAGATTTACCTTGTGGCTTTCTATTTCTCATCCTCAATACTTCTTATTAGCTATTTGCAGGGTTAGTGTCTTTTATGTTATTAGACTACCACCTAGTGGAAAATGCATGTATTACTCTTTTCTTTTCAAATAAGAGCAGTGCACCTTATTATTGATTTAAACGGATTTAACAATTTTGAAACTTCATTAACCAGCTTGAATATTTATTTGAATAAACCTATTTTGTATGCAGGAGTTACATCCAGCATAGTACAGTGGCAGAGTTACAATATAGGCCTATGGCATTATTAAGAATCCTTTACTGAACATTTATAAACCCAGTTATAAGTAAAAACTTAAAATAAACCTAAAAACAACAACTATAAATTGTATATCAGCAGTGTGTAAAATCCATACAGATTATGAGCTATTGTCCTTTTTGTTTCACAATTAGACAATACTCCTGCTCGGCTAAATCTCAGAATATTTAATTTATCTTATTGTTTTTCAGCTCTGTTTCCAGCATTAAATGTCTCCTTTTCTATTTAAATAATTTGCCTTGTTCAGTTTTGTTTATCCAATATGTTATTTACCCAGTATATTTCCACATTAAATAAAAATAAATCTAATGCCATAATTATTTGAGTGACAAAGATCAAAACATAAACACATTTAACAGGAGGCCTATTAGTCAAACATCTCATAAAGTATGGTGTAGAATATAATATAATTGGGAGGGATGAAACCCTCTTTAATGGTCACACATTCAATTTAATTATCTGACAGAAATTGCAAGAAGTTACTCAAGTGAAAGTACAAAAGTATTAACATCAAAACAAACTTATGTCTTACTTAAGTGTTTATTATATTATCTCACATAATTATTCAAAATCTGCAAAGTAATACAGGGATTAAACAAATGTAGTGGAGTAACAGTACACTTTTTTAAACAGCAAACATTTAAATACTCAAGTAAAGTACAAATCAAATCAGAGTTTATTTATATAGCCCACTATCACAAAACACGTTTGTCTCAGTGGGTTTGACGGATTAACAAACATGATTGGCAGTGCTAAAAGATAAATACAATTACAGGAAAATAATTAAAAGATAGAGTGTAGAATAAAATGAAAATGAAATAAAATACAACAAAAGAAAATACAAATATAATAAAACTACACAATTAAATACCATAAAATATAGGACCTAGGAAGACAAACATAGGGAATAATCTGAAACCAGCTCTAACTATTTAGGCTTTATTAGAAAGGAAGGTATTCAGCACACTCTGAAGTATAGACACTGCCTCTGATAAAAACAGGAAGATAGTTCTAGAGAAAGGGAGCTACAAGAACCCAACATTGTACATTAAGTACAGTACTTGAGTAAATGTAGTTAGTTACTTTACACCCCTGTGTGTGGGTTAGGCATGAATGTTTTTAAGATTGTTTTCTGTTGGTAGGTAAAGCTTCCGTTAACAGGCCTTTGCGCATGCGGGTTGCGCATGTCTCCTCGTGATGACAGCAAATGACAGCACTGTTCGCTCCTGCAGAAGCCAGGGTGAGACGGCTAACCGCCAGCAAACAGCTCGTCTGATCCGAGAAATCTGATGATCGGCTGTGTTTAGTTAAAAAGTGGACAACCAGTACACGCGTATAACGTTTGGTAAGTTGCTGAATTTAAGTTGGCATGTTTTTGTTGATCATATTTGATTACTCAGGAGCTTGCAGTCTAAAGCTAAGCTAACGTAGCTAACTAGCTTAACGTTAGCTTACCCTAGTTTACTAGCAAGCGTTAGCCGTGTTTAACTAGGTTTACGTTAGCAGGCTGCTGTGGCGGTTAGCCAGAACACCAGTTTGCCGTCTGTTCACAAATCACTGCAGACACAATTGCCAACGAAGCTAACAGCTGGGGTTTGTTAGTTTCCGTCATAGCATTTAGCTGACCTAACGTTAACTACGTGTTTTATTTGATACGATTCCCAGATCGTCTGGTGGTAATCAAAGCTGAGGCAACCTAGCAGTCACAGACCTGAACTTAAATAACCATTTTGATTTGTTCAGTTAAATATCTGTTAACAACAATACCAGCAAATCAAGGACACCATACACTTGCATATTAGCACATACAAATGTTTCAGCTTATTGTGTCAATGTTCCCACCCTCATACTAAGTGTGTGAGGGTAATGTTTAGCTAAAGTTGTTAGCCTAAAAACATAACCACTGACACACTATTTGTAACGTTAAGGCTTGTAAGGCCTTGGGCAATAGCAGCATACTGCCATGTAACATAATGTTAACACTGGATATTAACGTTAAGATAAGATAGTACTTTATGGATCCCAATTTGGGATATTTTTGCTCTTAGTAGCATAGAGGTAATTGCCTTCCCATCTGTCCAATATAACCGTGGTAATAAGTCATAGACAAATATGTGTTATTTTATTAAGTTAAAAGGGTAAATATTTGCCGGGTTACTTCTTGTCAGACATGAGATTTTGCAGCTTTTCTCAGTTTTAGATTACAAAATTGAATAGGTTTGTTTTTTTCTCAGAAAGAATATTTTAATAATAGAATATGTTTATAAGGACTCAATGCAATTGTGACCCAAAGCCTAAATTAAAGGAACATGTTATTATAACAACCCAAACATACAGTTATTACCTTGTTCTTTTCTGAAAACTGGTCCTGAATTACTGCCCATCACACAAGCACTACATTTTTTCCCCATGCCACATTACGAAGCACATCATGCCTTTACATAATTTCCTCACAAGTTAGTGTCACTCACTTTGTTGTTCATCATTAAGTCTTAATCCTGGAGTGAAGCTTGGTCAACAGGAATTTCTTCTTCTCTTCTTTCTTCTGGTTGATGGCAACATATTGCCTGGTTCACACTCTTTTTGCTTGCCAACTGGATTTCTCATAATTGATCAGAATAGGTTCTTTGTATGTCTGGATACACAATACTAAAGCCCAACATGTATATTTATATATATAAATGTACATTTCGCACAATATGCATTTTCCGCTGTTTGCTTCACTCTTTCATGACAGAAATCGTAAAGATTTTGGTTTGGGTAAAATGTTTGTCTTCAATTTGGATGTTTTCATAATTTGAAGCCATATTCGTCCCTTTTTCATATTGAATGTCTTAAGCAAAAATACACTTTTTGCCCATTTCCTTTCTCAGAGCCAACCTAATGGTTCATTCTGGTGTTCCTCATCAACTGGTAGGAGTAGAAATTTGCCCTCAAGACAGCAGATAAAATGACAGCACCTCAGGTAAACTGGGTTAAGTTCCACGATACCTGAGTCTGCAGTAAAAGTCGTAACATTAAACTCCAGCCGATGATAGAACTGCCTACAGTGACCCATGTTAATGGTACATACTGTTATCCATAAAGCTGGCATGTTATTCCCTGTGATTAACTATATCCAAGCTGATAACAATGACAAACAACGTAGTTTAATCAGGAAGTCCAGCTTAAATACTGTTTTCTCTACGGATTATCGAGGAGTCACGAGAATCGGTCTTATCTGCCCTCTACTGTGTTTGTTGTGGAAACATAGATTTAGCACGACTCTGCATTATGTTTTTTTTCAGTTTTTGCCACAAACGGAGCTTGTTGTGCCCAAACTGGAGGACATTATCAAACATTCCTTTTGGGGAGTGGTGGCCTTAAAGTTAGAGAAGTGAGCTTTGTGGCTATTATGTTGCTTATTAAGCCCACAGACTGGCAGGATACATCTGGGTGGTAGTAAGATCAAAATGCTCAAAGCTAGCTTTCAATGCTTGACAGTATTTTTAACAGTATGGATTTCAATCGGCAGTCAGGGTTTAATAGCCAGCCCGAGTGGGGAGAAAGTTCACTCTCAAACCTCATGTACTTGGTCTCCTTGCTGAGCAATGTAAGACATTATCGGAAAGGGAAGTGTGAAGAGGATGTTGGCTCAGAAACATGAATACCTTTTTTGTAGAAAGTGAAATCCTTTGAACAGCTATAAAAAGCACTTTGTTCCGTTGGTCGGTCTGTGGGTGTGTGGGAAGAGTGGGCTGTGTTCCAAACACCTTTACGGTGCTAGGATATTTACTTTAAGGAGTGCTGTTTTGATCTATGCATTGTCAAAAACCATATCCAACTTTTAAACCGTGTCACTACATAACTTGGAGTGAGACTTGCCCGTTGCATTTGAAATCCTCTGTGTTGTCTTTGACCTGTCTCTTATGATACCTTGTCGTTGTGATTATAGTGCTTACACCGATGTTATGGGTGAACCATTGGTCCTTTGTTATTCAGTGGCTCTTCTGTCACAATCCCTCTCACACAACTACGAAGGTTGCAGATTATGCCTCACACTGTTTGGTTTCTCTTCTGCTTTAAAGTTCCTCAGTGCTCTCCATGACTGACTCACCAGGTGGCTTTATGCTGTTTTTTGTGTTGGAGCTGATGGACACAGGAGGATACGACAAATGACAGTTAACCTCTCTACTAGCCACTTAATAGCCTAGTTGTTTTTCACTTCCTTCCAAGTATGTGAGGAATGTGCTTGTTTAAGAAACATGAGTGTATGTGGAAGTGCACCCTGAGTGTTCTCAGTAGCCAGTTACCTGTCAATTCATTCAGCTCTAAAATGAAAGCAAAATAAATCTAAGACAAAATGTATCTGTTTTATTAGCCTTTTATAAGATCCCCCCAGATCGATTAATTTCCCCCCGAAAAAGGGTCTCCTTAAGTGCAGCTCCCTTTTGTGGTGTCTTTTGGACTGCTTTTTTTAAATTTTTATCAAAAAGCAGCTTGAAGAGCTTGGACATTTGTAAATTGTGATGGTTATTCTTCACACATTTCTGACATTTTAGAGACAAAATATCAGTTGATTAAATAGGAAAAATAAATGCAGATACTCAATAATGCTAATAAACATTAGTTTCACACCCAGTTAGCACCCCACTCATGTTATCCTCATGACCTTTTTATGAGAAAAATGTACCTTCAAAGGCAAAGCTAAAATAATTCCATTTATAATATTAATGATTTGAAATTATGAATCCATCATTTTTGAAATAGCAAATGTTTGTATTTTTTTACTGATAAATAACTTATATTTTGTCAAATGAACCCAGGACGCAGCTGTACCCTGCAAAGAATATGCATTTTTTACAAATCATAAAAACAAACATTCGGAATGCGTAAAAGAGAGATTTCCAACTAAAATAGATTTTTAACTTTACCTGTTTTTGAAAAATCAGTCATTAGAGATCGGTTATCACAACACTGTTTATTCTTGGTTTGCCAAGGGAGTTCAATGTGGAGCCTATTATTATGCGTTTAAATCCGCATAACCAATTTGATTTGTCAGACACATCATATCTAACGTCGTGGTTGTCTGTTAGCTTGTGGACAATGGCACTGCCTTGCAGTCATTCCCACTCTCAGGCAGTTTTCTCCAGTCTAGTCTCAATTACCTCATTCACACTAACGGTGTTTCAGGGCCGGTTCGGAGCTGGAGCTTGAAAAGCACCGGGTTTTCCTCTTCACACCGCAGCGGCGCCGCCTCTTAGCTCCGGAATCCGGTTAGTTTCAAGCACCAAAAAATTGTCCGGCCAGAGCAAAAGCACCGCATACGTCACGCTTACGTCGAGGCGGGGGCAGGGGCAGAGACAGATCAACTCCTGAACAACAACAAAAAGCCCGCGTTTTATCCAGCTTGTACTTTGTACACAACGATGGAGAAACTTAACAAGAGTTTCAGAGTTTCAGTGTTTCTGCCATAGACATATAAAGGTTTCTGCTCATGGTGAAGCAACGTGTCTGCGTGTTAAGGTGGAACCTGAGCATTCACGTTGATCACCTCTCATTATAACTCATTATAAATCTATAAAACTATAAATATTAAACTTTACTTCACGTGTTCATTTGAGAACAGCTGTTACATACCTGGGTGAAGGTTACAGTTCATTTAAATGAAAGATACAACGTTACTCCACACTCATGGTTCAGTCCACCTTAAGAAATAAGACCAACCTCGGAAGCAGTTGTGTTTTAAAAAAACCTTTATTGACACGAGTACACTTATAAGAATATAACTAAACCACAGAAATGACTCCGGAAAAGCTGCAGATAGAGCCATAAGAAATGAATGCAACTGATTTCATCTGCGCGGTTTGGCTTTATGAAGCAGGCACGCCAACGGTTACGTCATGACGCAAACGATGACGCAACGACGCATTACCAGTCGGACTCTGGGCGGTGTGAAAAGAGCCAGAGCTAAACCGAATAACTGGTTCTGAACCTGAAAAGCTCTAGCACGGAGCTTGAACCGGAGTTGCGTTGGTGTGAATGAGGTCATTGTCCTCCCAGAGCCATAACTCCACAGTTAAATCTGAGTTTGCTATGTTTGCATACAGCCACAAAAAGGCTTTTGTGCAAAGGATGCACCAAGAAATCATTCAGATTTCATGCACTCGGCTTGGTTTGTATGTCTTAGCTGTGTATATCTGGACAATGAAAAGTGATTTGCATAATGTGTCTCCTGAAGCTTGTGAAAAGTGTGCTTTTGTTGTTGTCATTGAGGCAGCGTGTGAAGCACATGGAATGCAAATGATCACTTCCCTTGAATGACCCAAGCATCATGTAGTTACTTTCAAATGCAGCTTTACTCTACTAATGAATATTGATACCGTTTGCACATTTTATAATTTCAATAGTATATATTTCAACCACAATTTCCGAATCCTTACTTTCTTGGGTTTTTCTATCAGGCAAGTACACATACTAGACAGTCCCACAGCGTTGTTACAAGTTTAAGGCTACATAGTTACAACAATGACATGCTGTTAACCTGACAGGAAAAATGCTGTTTTTACTCTTTGATTGAGTCTCTTTTGAAAAACATTCTGGGAGTACACTGTATTGAATCTTAAAGGAATACTTCAGAATTGTTGTGATTTACTTACATTGGAGGACTTTAAGGAGAAAGATAAAACATGATGGTCTGAATCAGCATATGTGTTATCATGATTTCCCCCATCACTTCTTAAATGTTTATCAATGTAAATGTCTGGCTAACGATTCCAAACCCAATCAACAATGATAGAAAACAGAGGAAAACAATAAGTCCTTTCGTTGAACAAGCCAGAACCAGAGATTGCTTGGTGTTTTTCTATGAGAAATGACTTGAATAAGAATCCACTTTCAAAATGGTTATTATACCATTTTTGAGGATTGACTAATCCATTGCTTGTATACTGTTTCAACTCAAGATTAGTGTTAATTTCGTCAGCTATTTTTTAATTTAGTTTTAATCTTAGTCCTGTGTTAAATTTAGTTTTAGTCATATTTAGTCACCTTCATCCTGTTTTTATTTAGTCAAGTTTTAGTCGACTAAAAGTCTGAGGATTTTAGTCTTATTTTAGTCAAAGAAAACTAATTATTTTAGTCTACTTTTTGTCAATGAAAACTGTTGAGTCTCATCAGATTATATAGAACATTTCAGTCAAACTAGTCTAGCCAAAACCAATAATTTGTCATTTTAGTCAAACGTATTTCACAATAAGATTATATCTTGTCCTTATTTGATGAAAAACTCAGGTTGAATGATTAAGAAGCTTTGCAGAGAGTATCTGCTCAGGTTTGTGGTGTTTTTACCAGCTGTGTTTTGGCCACATTGCTTCCCTTCTGATAAAACAATGCATTCACATTTTTTCTCCGCCTCATTGTAGCGAAAATGGGCCCAAATATCACATCGTTTCTTTCTCCCAAGCAGTGGTGGCTTTAGACTTTTTTGTTGTCAGTCATTTTGACGACAGGATTGTAACATTTCTGTCATAATCCATTATTATCCGTCGAGTGCACAATTTATCAATCACTCGCGCTGACGGGGGGGTATTCGGTTAATGCGAGTGTGACCACTGCTCCCAAGCCCTGTTGTTGCCATTTTATTTTCTGTTAAATAAGGTTAGTTAGACCATGAGTTAGACCCGAGTCTTCTTGACAGTTCATATTGTGCCGCTGCCCGGTGTAATTCAAATGTACCGCGGCGCGCAGCACAGACACACACAGCTGCTGCCCAGCCGCAGCACGGACACACAGCTGCTGCCCAGCCGCAGCACGGACACACAGCTGCTGCCCAGCCGCAGCACGGACACACAGCTGCTGCCCAGCCGCAGCACGGACACACAGCTGCTGCCCAGCCGCAGCACGGACACACAGCTGCTGCCCAGCCGCAGCACAGACACACAGCTGCTGCCCTGCCACCGCAGCACCGGAAATGGAACTGCTGGGAGAAAAACTGACTATCAGAGATGTAACGTTATCTTTGATAATATTTCGTCTCCTCATTTTTCGTCAACGAAAGTAAAGAGAGATTTTGGCATAGTTTTTATTTAGTAAACAACATTTTCGTCTCGTCACTTTTCGTCAACGATATTGCATGATGATTTCGTTACAGTTATTGTTTACTGCCGTCGGTGCCGTCTCGTCATCGTCTCGTTTTCGTCATGGAAAAAAAGATCGTTAACGAACATATTTCGTCATAGTTTTAGTCAACGAAATTAACACTACTCAAGATACAGCCTCTTTTTCATACATTTGTAGTTCCAATTCACCTGCTAAGATATCCCTATCCCTAATGACATTATTTATGGTTATTTTTCGAACTTGACAAAGCATCTCCAGAGCCACAATGGACTTAATACAACTGTGTGCACATGCTGTACTATCCATGATAATGAAAGGTTTTCCTATTTCCTCACCTGACTGTCAACACTTTCTTTTCCTGCTAATGTGACTAAGTTTTTTCCATTTCACTTATTAACCTGATTTACCTGTTTTTTGTGCTCTAGTGATTTACCTCTCTGCCTGTGTGAGCTGGTGAAGATGGTGAAGCCAGACATCCACACTCTGGCCCACCACCTGAAGCAGGAGCGGCTGTACGTGGCGTCGGAGAAGCAGCTGATCCAGAGGCTCAACAGTGACGTGCTGAAGACCGCCGAGAGGCTGTACCGGACCGCATGGATCGCCAAGCAGCAGAGGATCAACCTCGATCGCCTCATTCTCACAAGGTCAGACCTGTGTTCCTATTTACTGAAGTGATATTTTCCTGTTATGCATGCCTGTGATTTCTCATTTTATTTTGGTGTACTTATGTCAACAGAAAGCAATTTTGAATAAATGGCAGATAATATTATGCAGTTGGTTGTCAGCAAATATTGAAACTGAAACATTTCCGATGCTAAAACATGTTTCAAATTTGAGGATGTGGCAAATGTGAAAAAAACGAAACAAGAACATGTTTGATACTGTGTGGTGTTCTTGTGTTCACTTGACCCTGTCACTACCGTTTAGATCTGTTGTCAGTTTCAGCCTACAGTGCAAGAGCATCCCTGTTGAGCATGTGATATAATGCTTGTTCATGCTTGTCTAAAGGTGGATAGATGTCAGTCAGAACTAGGTTGGAGGATATGTCATCTTTCACCACAGAAGCTAGCATACACTCTTTTGGACCCACCCTGTCTGTAGGTTGGGTGAGATCCGGTTTGCATAGTGGAGAGAAATTACAGTATTATTATATAGTTGTTCGTACAAGGGATTATTTACGTACAAGGGATTATTTACGTTGTATATTAATAATGACACCACTTTTTTTTTTACAGTGCGGAGGCCTCTCCAGCGGAATGCTGCCAACATGCCAAAATGCTGGAAGACACACAGTTTGTTGATGGCTACAAGACTCTGGGCTTCCAAGAGAACATCTATGGAGAGTTCTTGGCCCGGTTGAGGGAAAACCCCAGACTGGTGGCTTCCTGTCTGGTGGCCGGGGAGAGGCTGAACCAGGAGCACAACCAGTGTGTCACCCATACAGTCTTCACCTCACTTTATGGCAACTGTATTATGCAGGAGGATGAGAGCTACCTGCTACAGGTCAGTAGCCTCAACTGTCTTTAGTGTTAGGGGTCGTCCACGCCAAGAACCATAGATAATGATTACTTTATGTCTTTTTATTTTATTCTAACTCGGGTGGATAGCAGAGTAAATTCAAACTATATTGAGGATGTCAGTGGTGAAGGATATTGTTGGGATTACTTTCAGAGCCATTTACGATAGTAACACTGACAGCCAATCAAAACCCACCTGAATACAAAGGTGTTGTTCCACACAGGAATGTAGATGAGTAAAATGGTCTTTGGAAATATTTGACATTTTCAGTTAACATAACATTTCCTTATTGTGCAACAATATTAATTATTGTTTGACAGTGTAAGCTGACTATTTATAGTTATGATTATAGATCACGTTCTGGGTATGGATGGCTCTTTACATATTGGACAAACAATAATAGCCTTTCTGTAAGATTACATGTTTTTCTTCTGATGCAACTTTCTTTTCTTGCCATCTCCCAGGTGTTGCGTTACCTGGTGGAGTTTGAGCTGAAGGAAAGTGACAACCCTCGCCGTTTGCTGCGACGGGGAACCTGTGCCTTCAGCATCCTTTTCAAGCTCTTCACCGAGGGCCTGTACTCCGCCAAACTCTTCCTCACCGCCACCCTACATGAACCCATTATGCAGCTGCTGGTTGAAGATGAAGACCACCTGGAGACCGACCCAGCCAAGGTGACGGAGCGCCTCACCCCTGCCCAGCAGGACCGCTTCGGAGAGAAGGGCTCCGAGGGCTACAAACAAAGGGTGCAGTCAGCGGTGGAGGCCAACGAAGCTAAGCTAGTAGCTCTGGTCAACAAGTTTATCGGTTACTTAAAGCAGAACACCTACTGCTTTCCCCACAGCCTGCGCTGGATTGTGTCGCAGATGTACAAGACTTTGTCCTGTGTGGAGCGTCTGGAGGTGGGCGAGGTGCGCACCATGTGCACCGACCTGCTGCTGACCTGCTTCATCTGCCCAGCTATAGTCAACCCGGAGCAGTATGGAATCATCTCAGACGCCCCCATCAATGAAGTAGCTCGCTTCAATCTAATGCAGGTTTGTGGCAAAGCATGCAACCAATACACATATCATGCATTTGGTAATCATTATACAGTATTGATTCATTTTGCATGTCATTTGTTACACAGGTGGGACAGCTTTTGCAGCAGTTGGCCATGACTGATAATGATGCAGACCCAAGGCGGAAAAGCAGTTTGGCTAAATTTGATAAGGTACAAGAACCATTGTGAAGTTGAGTTAAATCGAACTTAAGCACAACATACTTTTCTCCTTGTACTAATTTATACTTTTATGTCTCTGTCTCCAGAGTTGTGTGGCTGCTTTTCTGGATGTGGTCCTTGGAGGAAGAGCAGTCGAGACCCCACCCATGTCCTCAATGAACCTCCTAGAAGGCCTCAGTAGGACTGCGGTCTATATTACACATAATCAGCTGCTTGTGCTGGTAGGCTTTTTTTTTTAATTGATATCCAAATGTGACATTAGCATACCGTGTGATTTATTTTGTGTTGTCTACAGCTACAGGGTTGAACAATAAATGTTTTCCCCTCATAAATGACCATTGCAGCTTCTCTGCGTTTGGCATATGCTTTATCATTGCTCACCTTGACCTATGGTCACACTACTTAATTTTTTAGGTTTTTACAAGTAAATTCTTAGCAATTCACACATAACAATTTAGGATGAGTCATTTTTACTGGAATGCCAATGACATTATGCGAAAGCTTAACTACACTGTTGCAATCTGTTCCAAGTCATTTGTCAAAGCAACCCACACATACATAAAAATAGGCTAGATAGTCTTTGTGAATTGCAGATTAGTCAGTCGCAAACAACGCAGAAATGTGTCTTTTGAATTAATTTACCTTATGACTCTAGTGTGACCTCAACGTGCATATTTATTAATACATTACTATGTTTATGTCAAGACTTATGACAGCTCAAGAGCCATTTTGTTCATTTGAAAATGAAAAACATTTGTGTCTTTTGTATTGATTATATTTCTCCCTTCATTGTGAAACACCTTTCATCAGTGAACTCTAATAAAGCCATGTGTAATTCTACATGTTGTGCCAGCAACAGTTAAAGTTTAGGCAGACTTTGGCAAGTGCAAACTTGCCATCTCACACCCTTCCTAGAAAAACCTGTTGAATTCCAAAAATGTTTCCCATGTCCTGCGTAGGTGGACTTTGTACGGAATGTGATGGCAGGGGACCACCTTCGGGAGGAGGAGCACATGGCTCTGGAGACTCTGGTAGCCAATGTGCCCCAGTCCCGAGCTGTGAAGAGCAACAGTCTGGAGCTCACACCCTCCAACACCCCCCAGCTCTCCCCCGCTACCACCCCTGCCAACAAGAAGAACAGGCTCCCCATAGGTACCTCCTCATGAGGCGCATTCACACCGCAGTACTTTTCCCACAATGGTTCATCAGAACTTAGTTCATGAGAACTCTTTAGTTCTCATGAACTAAGTACAGATCACGTTCACACCGGAATAAGTCCCTGGGGGAGGATTAGGCAAATGAAGCCGCTGACGTCACTTCTTCTTCTTCTGCTTTGGGTTTACTGGCAGGCCGTAAACCACTTCACGGCGTATACTGCCGCCCAAAATCCCCGGCCGGAAGTCCCCTACTGAAGCCTTCCGAGTAAATCGCCAGAACGCCGACACCTCCTCATCTCCACCGCTCCCATGTTTTATTTTGTGTTGCCATAAGTTAGTCTCTCTGCGTTTCTGCGCTGGGCTAATGCTAATAATGCTAAAGGATAATAAAATGGCGGCTTCACAAAACTTTTTGGGAGTTTTACGGGGCATGGTTTGCAATCTGCCCAGCCAATCAGACATAGGAACCTTTTTCTCCCACGAAAGTCCCTGCTCTCTAGCAGGGACGGAAACGGGGGTGAAAAGGTTCTCATGAACTCATTTTAGTTCCGGCTCTTTTTGGTGTGAACGCAACATTTCGGAACTATATCGGAACTAAAGTGGGAAAAGTACTGCGGTGTGAACGCGCCTATGGCCTCTGAGCCTCTTTCTCCTTGCCACGTCTAAAAATAGATATGTTATTGTGCTAAATGTTGGAACCTCTTGTTTCCTGATGTGAGGATCCAAAGGACATTTTCCTTTTTAAGGAATATCACAATTTGAAACAAGAACCAAAAGATAGAACTGTTATATTTGACCTAATGGGAAGCAAAATAAACAAGTAGAATTGAGTGGTGATGACTAGTGAAAGGCCTGTGTTTTATAAGAAGCTAATGAGCTTCTTCTCAGCTTGTTATAAAGATAATTAGCATGGCCTGGATTGAGGCTCAATTACAGAAATGACAACCAATTAAATTACCAAATATAAATGGACTCATTTTAATTGGAATGGATGGAAAAGATGCATAGACTACCTTCATTAGCATTCTCAAGACAAATGATGTTGTAGCAACACGCCCTTAATTAGAAATGAACCACTTGTACACGCTACTCTGAAATTACATTTATACACACAATCTTGACTTGATACTTGAAATACTTTAAAGATTCTGAGATGTACTCTGTATTCTTTCTCCAACTCCCTACCTTTTGTCCTTCTCCTTTCCCCCTGTGCTGCCATTGACCAGGACAACACTTAGCCGCTATAACATCCTGGGACCCCACAACCACCACTCTGTCTGCTCACATTCCATTAGTTACCCCTTTTGGTGGGTAGCATGTCGGTCGTGTTAGAGCAGGAGAGAACTTAACCCATGAAGCTGTTGTTTTACCAAGTGGCGCATTAGATAACACTCATCTAGTGCTAACTGCACCGTAATCGCACTGCTTCGCCACTGTTACCTTGCAGCACTGTTGTTGTCCATTTGCTACCACCCTGCTTGCTTTACCCTGCTCTGTGCGTTGTCCCTTTATTACACCTAAAATGTTTTTGTCACTTGTTTTTGTTATAAAGTTTTCCCCCTTTTTGCTTACTCATTCAGCTGAATATGGCTTTTCATCACCAGGTAGAGTCAGGGGAAAATGTATATAGTCCACCTTTCCTCTTTCTAGTCTGTGCCCGAGTTGTGATCAGAATAAAAGAGAGTAGTGCTCTGATGTGTTGTGGTTGAGTTCTAAACAGCACTCTAGCATCCACTTATTTCTGAGAAAGTAAAGGCAAATCAATTTATAGTGGCTTTACAAGCAGTATATTGGCTCTTCTTGTTTGTAAATGAATTGGGAGACAGTGTTCCAAGACCTCTTAGCTATTTGAAACTTGAGAGTGTTGTTATTGGAGGATTTAGGATGTAACCACATCCTTTTTAATTTTCTTCAAATACTTAATTCCTTGTTCATGCTTTGATGGAAGCATGGTTCAGAAAAAACACACTTTCATCCAGAATGAAACACAATCCAAGTTAAGTGTCATGTGGCAAAATGCCTTGATTGCCTGTTATATCATTCTCTTGAGATTAGAACCAGACTTCCCATGTGATCCAGAACCTCAGTAGACTTGTAAAGTACCTTTTTACTTTAATTTTATTTTTTTTCATTAATCCACTGGATCGAGCTAAGTTTTCAATTCCGTGTGCTACAGCCACGTGCGGCTGAAATATCTTAGACTGGTCTTTAGAGTGGTATGAGTATCATGTGCTGCTTAAGTGTTTCATTATGTTAGCGCTTCCATTTTTACCCCAGAAACATTTTGAAAGCAGGTCAGTGGGTTTCAGTTTGGGACATACCAAATGTTTAAATAATATGGCATGAATAGCGTCATCAAGCAAATCATGTGCTTTTGTCTGTATCTGTTTACAGTGTGTAACCATAACAACTGGAAAAACTATTTTCATACTTAACAAAGTAATCTTCCTCCTAAAATAAAGCTTAGTGTTTATTATGTACTAACATCTAAATATGAGATATAGACTTGTCTTTTAATGTCACACCAGTGCACCGTGTAATTTGAGCATAAAAACGGTAAATCTGACAATATGTGTGAAACCAAAAAAGACATTCAGCTCACTTTTTTTGACATGCTACATATTGGTGTGACATAACAGATGGGTCTTGGTTTTATAGTTTCACGCTTAAGGCTGCAGCTTTTAATTTTCATAAAAACATAACAATATATGTTGTTATTGAGTGCCCTCAGATAATAAGTGGTTTAATTCCCTCGACCCAGCAGCTGCTCGCAGCCGCAGCCGTACCAACATAGCCCAGGAGGGGGAGGCAGAGGCCAGCTCCCAGGAGTCCCTGCAGGAGCTGATGCCAGAGGATGTGCTGGTGATTTCACTTGGAAATGGTCCTCAGTCGGTCCCTGGGATGATGTCAGAGAATGAGGTAATGTGACTTGAATGAATGTACTCATTTACAGGAGAGATTATGATGTGATGAATTCAATGTCATATCTTTTTCTGTCGCTGAAAGACTTCTTAGAGTCGGTGTCATGAATTTGATAAGAGCCTTGTATCTCATGTATAAGTACCTCCCTGATTCAAGTGTTTCCTGCTGTCTTTGAATGAGAAACAAAGCTCTACAAAGAATGACTCATGGCAAGGCGAGATAGCAACCAAAAATAAGTGATATTTTTTTTAATGTATGCTCTTTCTCTCTCTCCACTGCTCTCTAGGTTTTGAACCTGCAGATGGCTGATGGGGCCCAGGGGGACGGCCATGCTGATGATACTAAGCTGCATGGTAAACCAGACAAAACTCTGCGCTTCTCCCTCTGCAGTGACAACCTGGAAGGCATCTCAGAGGGTCAGTCTGCAGTCTGATGATACATGGAGCTCAAACATGACAAAAACATATTGCTGCTATGTTTATGAGTGATATCAGAAAACTTGAAAGTAGTGTTTTTGGTTTGTGGAAGCACATTATTGTGATTATCGGCCCATCTGATGTTTTTGTCACTGTTATATGGACACAACAAACAAATGAACACACCAACAAGAAAGACTATGATGCAACTCCATTTCACACTCAAATATGACTGATTATTAGTTGGTGACATTTGTATTTATTATTTCCCCCTCAGGTCCATCCAACAGATCTAACTCTGTGTCGTCTCTGGACCTGGAGGGAGAGTCTGTCTCTGAACTGGGAGCCGGACCGTCAGGGAGCAACGGGGTGGAGGCGCTACAGCTTCTAGAGCATGAACAGGGTATGCGTGTGTATTTTTTAATTCTGCAAAAGAAGTTGGAAGTGAAAATAGGAAAAGAAAGATGTAATGTTTATAAAGCACTGAATGGTTTAGGCCCAAAATACATTTCTGATCTTCTGCTAAATTATGAACCATCCAGATCTCTCAGGTCTTCAGGGACTGGTCAGCTTTCTGTCCCCAGAGTCAGAACTAAACATGGTAAAGCAGCGTTCAGTTATTATGCTCCAAATATCTGGAACAAACTCCCAGAAACCTGCAGGTCCGCTACAACTCTGACTACTTTTAAATCCAGGCTGAAGACTTTTCTTTTTGCCGCTGCTTTTAATTGAAACTGAGCGGTTGTGTTTCGTTTTTGGTTAATGAACATTTGGGGCTAGTAACCCCAGGGAATCAGTGTCTGGGGACTTTGTCCTGGCTGATTTTCTCTGTGTATGCTGCTCGGGACGTATGTGCCATACCGTACACAGCTCATGTTTAGAGAAACCTTAAAGAAAGGCATCAGTAAAATTGAACTTCCGTGTGAACTATGCATATCTTAAACTGCACTGTAACTTTTTATTCATGTACTTTTTATTCATGTATTTTTTCTTTTAATGTTTCTTTTATTATCTTTTCTTTTTAATGAATGTTTTTAAATGCCTTTGTCTGAATGTCTTTCATTTTTGTAAAGCACCTTGAATTGCCTTGTGTTGAAAGGTGCTATATAAATACACTTGCCTCTCCTTGCCTTGCCTAATATATAATGTATATAATATAATGTGCAGGCTCTGTCTAACATCCTTTGTGTCTCCTTCAGCCACCACTCAAGACAACCTGGATGACAAACTGCGCAAGTTTGAGATCAGAGACATGATGGGTCTCACCGATGATCGGGACATCTCTGAGACGGTCAGCGAAACCTGGAGCACCGATGTGCTCGGCAGCGACTTTGACCCCAACATGGATGAAGATCGGCTGCAGGAAATAGCAGGTGGGGCATGGCTTTCTGTGTTTGTCCATATTCACTCCCTGCGTAAGAAGGCAAATTGATCAATCTACACAGTCTGTGAGGTCATTGCACATTGTATGAGATGAATGGGAATCTTACCTGGCTTTTCATTAAGTAGATTAAGGGAAATGTCCTCACCTTGTGGTATGTAGAGGAAATAGCAGATTTTCAGTGCAGCATAGGTTCTATAAAGAAACACAGATACGGAACTGCTCATATCTGTTACTGTGATAAAAAGTCATTTTAATTCCATTACAACATTCAAGTACAGCTTAAAGGAACCAAATATGCCTTAGTTTCTAGTTGTGCAAATGGAGTTTTTATGAAATTGGTCCATTGATATTCCAAATTCAGTGTCAGTGCTCTGACAATTCACTGCCAAATCTTATATTGAAACAATGCTTAGTTGCTCAGTTTTTATGATTTTCAATAGAACAAAGAAACTGCATAATCTATTACTTTTATAATGAAGGTTCAAGCAAAAACTGCCAATTGTATACCCATTGTCTGTTTCCTTCTACTGCCACTGACTTTTAGATGTTACTGATTATGCAATTATCTTCCAATCTTGTAAACGGCAGTAATGAATTGGAGGCATTCAAATAGAAATTGTACTCAAGGGGCAAAACAAGTTGATTTCTACATGTCTCTGGAAGTGTATCCTGAAGATAGCTTGCATCATCACAGTGACGGTGTCTAATCTAGTAAATACATGCATTATCATAATATGCTGATTTATATCAAATAAAAAATTCTTCAGTATATATTGGAGGGCAGATTTAACCTCTGCACTATTTTGAGCAAGGACTATAACTGTTATGCACAGGTTGTACAAATCCGAAGTCCATCTAATGTAAATCTAGCTGTAGTATACAGAATATTTTAGTCTTTACATTTATTTTCCTGCCTCCTTGCCTCAGCCTCTTTTTCCTTGCAGCCTTCCTCCTGCCCATCTCGCTTTCCTTCTGTCTCTCTGACATTCACTCTGTCCCTGCAGTCTTATTGACCTTGGTTCCTTCTCATTTGCATCCTCCATTTTTCATTCTTCCGAATATGGCGTTCGGGGACTTTTCCATCATTAAGTGAATTTACAGCGATTTCCTTATGTGTTTTCTCCAAGGGATTGGGTTATGAGATGCACATTAAATATCCATTAATACCTCATTATCCCACTGATAAGATTACCATGATAATGAGGCAGAAATTCTAATTGTTTCACTTCTTGTTGTGCCACTCATTTAATCATCCACCTGAAAGACAAGTACTCTGCGCCCCTACCTTGAAGACTGTAAACACGGACAGCGGGGTAGAGCTCTCCCACCGCCAATGAGAGCCCTACCCCCGCCAACATCAGCACACACTGTTGCCTGGCTGCTGGCATGCATGCACGCTCATGGCGTGTGTGTGCCATGATGTGGAAGCGAGACATTCCAGGGGGCGCGGCTACCACAGGTCGACTCTTTGGTCTTGAGCCTTGGCCAGTGACTCCCACTCACACCTGCTAGCTCCTCCACATTCTTCCGCCTTGTTAAGCCTTGGCTTTCCAAATGGAGATGGAGGGACTCCGTGCTGAGGACTTTGTGGGGGGCGAAGCGGTAATTTGGTTGTGAGTAATGCTAGGCAAAATCAACAGCTCAAAGTCATGGCCCTGGAGGCCGAGGCAGGGTGAGATATTACCATTAACCTCTGACCTTTGGCACAGTGGTGTATGTGCCTGTGGGTCCCAGCATGCAATGCACGTGACCTCCAACTCTCTCTGTGTGTCTGTATGCAGAGCTCACTGTCACTGAAGCCCCATCCACTCACTATTCAAAGGGGGCTTTTTCTACTGTTTATAATTATCTCTGGCCATTTCACTGTGTTTTTGGAAAACTGAGACCTCTAGGCATATTGTAAATACGATGGAACGGGTTTAATTAAAATATAACGAAAAAAGCAACACAGTCAGTACTAAGGGATCACAATCACCCCCTAAATACGTGGATTAAAGGAAGATATATTATTTTAGGGGAAAACCTTAGTCATGTCAGTCATTCATCAGGAAAACATGCCAAACATTTGCTAGTCCCAGTTTTAATTTGTGAGAATTTGCTACCTTTTTCTATATTTACATAGTTGGAATTCGTTTTATTGCAAAAATAGAAGTTTGAATAGACAATTCACAAGAAAAACATCATTTTTAACCCAAACTATTTTATTGGCATCATTTGTGTATTTCAAGTTCACATTCAAATCTGAATAATTTATTAGAACTAATTACAGAATATGAATCAACACCAGTGCTATAACAACACGCAGAGGCTTGCTAGAGTACGAAAAGGTGACGACTTTGTAACGATGCAGGTGACCTTATTTTCCAGACAAATAAAAGCTGGTTCATTTTGATGGAGGAGGTTAACTCTTTGTCTCTCTCCCTCTCTGCTCTCAGGGGCCGCTGCAGAGAACATGCTCGGCAGCCTGCTGTGTCTCCCTGGCTCCGGATCAGTGCTGCTGGACCCCTATGGCTCCACCATCTCAGAGACCACCAGCGAGGCCTGGAGCGTGGAGGTCCTCCCCAGTGACTCAGGTAGGGATCCAGGTTCGTTCTTTTCTTTTCTACGGTTTGCTTGGGTTATTGTGTTGATCCGTCCACTCCCTCTTCTGGATGCATGCATATTTATGTTTGTTGGATATAGTGGGGGTTGGGACACCAGGTGTGGCTTCACAGCAATCCATACCAAAAATGTGTGTGCATCTGTCATCATATTTGTGTGCACTAGCCTGTCTTTCATGGCAGATCTGCGTGTGCCAGTAAAAGGCAGAACAGGGTTTCCTTAGAGGGACCACCAGGTGTGTTTGCACCTGTGGTGGAGCAGCGGGAGGGAAGCAAAAGGACAGCAGCTGTCCTCCGTCAGTTTACGTCAGTTTTTTATACGACTAGACTTAACATCGCTTTTCTCTGAGGCTGGTGTTTACATAGTGCACTGTTGTGACACACAGGGCATCAGTCTACATCATTTGTCAATCCACATTCATAAACAAACTTGTGAATAGATAGTCTAAATATTTTATTAATGAAAAATGATGTGCTTAACTTCCCCTTTTGAAAACCAGTGTTTTGTGAAATCAGTAGTGCTTTATTAACAGCGTTAAGTGTTTCTTTGAAAAGCCTGGGCTTATGTTAATTGAAGTAGTACACCATTTCAATATGTGCCGTGCAGAAATGACATGCATGAGTGTCTTGATTGCTTTTTGTTCCGTTTGCTGCTCCTGTTCTGCTCTGTAATAGCACGATCGGAGGCTCTCTTGGACTAGAACGCTTGTTTCATGGCTAGGCAGCAGAAAACTAGACTCTGAAGAGCACTTCACCAACACATTATTACTAACGAGCATGCAAATGAGTACTGCTGTTAGTATGGAGCCTCTGGGTTCGAACCAACAGCTCCGTTGGGTAGCCAAAGAGTTGGCCGTATAGCTTTATGGTTTGGTTTGGCAGTTATAAGACATGATAATGTATGCTTTGTTTGATTTCATACATATGTGCACACTTCGTTTCCCAATGATCGTAACAGAGGGGGGGGGGGGGGGTGGAGAGAAAAGATTGACCATCATCTATTGCAAACAGGAGTACACTGGATAAAGAGTTGTGTGAAATGAGAAATGTACACACTATTGTATCGGATTCCTTTTTTCTAAAGATATGATTTTTAAAGTATTTATATTTCTATCCTTTTTGGTAAATTTCCAGAAGCTCCCGACCTGAAACAGGAGGAGCGTCTGCAGGAGCTGGAGAGCTGCTCAGGGGTCGGCAGTACCTCCGATGACACGGAGGTCAGAGAGGTCAGCTCGAGGCCCAGCACACCAGGGCTCAGTGTTGTCTCAGGTATTCATTTAACCTATTCTCTTCCCTATTTCGCACCTTCTTCTTTGTCTGTATAGGTTGTCTCTCTCTCAAGCTAACCCTTTCCTTTTGATCCAAAACTCTCTTTAAATAAATTGCATGTTCCTCACCCTCTTGAGGCTGTGTACAGCGGTCATGTTGCTGGCAGAGATGTTAACAATGGGGTCAGTGGGATTTATTTTCCGTATGACACAGGTTTTTGCTGGTTGTCTTTTCAGTTGGCTCAGGTGGACATGCTATGTTTACATGCATGAGGTAGTATCCTAGATTAAGAAGCCAGCAGTGATGTGCGTGGCTCAGCTCACAGGAAAACATCCCTCGGGATCCCGCCGATGGATAGTCTGCATCTGATGATCACTCTTATCCGCGTCCTCCCCCTAGCCCATGGGAGCTTACGCTACCAATTTACGGCTCCCAGTGGTCTCCCATCTGAGAGAGAGCATACAGTATAGTCAAGAGACAAATGTCTTCTTTTGTTTCAGAAACATTGGTTCTGTTTTGTGACAGGTATTTTACTGTAGAGGGTGAGTTTCTGTTGTCTTGACTGTCAATACAACTGTTTTTGTTGTTTGTTCCTCCTGCAGGCGTCAGTGCAACCTCAGAAGACATCCCCAACAAGATTGAGGACCTGCGGTCAGAGTGCAGCTCAGACTTTGGAGGGAAGGACTCTGTGACCAGTCCAGATGGGGAGGAGTCAGGCCACGGTAGGAGAGTGTCACATCCCCGCTACGCTAGCTAAGCCATCATCCAGTGTCTATCTGGTCGCAACAGCATCAGCCAGAGCAATCAATCCCTGTCCTTCCACAGCTGCCACCAACTCTAATCACTCTTTCAGTTCTCAGCAACCCTAATTGTTGCATTAAGTTAGTGTACATCCCTTGTAAGCCAGGCTGGGAAGTCCCTTGCCTATTGTCTTTTTAACTTGATGTTACAAATGTATTTATTTGTTAATAACAGCAATACGCTTTTGTGTGTCAGTGCTTGATTCAGTAAACGCTCTAAATTGTCTCATATCCTCTTGTGTTTTCACAGGAGCACATCCGACATCTCCACCCTCACAGGCCGATTCCTTACTGGCCATGTTCGATCCCCTCTCCTCCGCTGACGGTAATTTGCACTCCCAGGATGCTCTTCAGCCAATCAGATTTAGAAATTAGTATCATTAAGTCCCGACCCTAATGTCGAGGGCTCGCAGAACAGCTTGAGCTTTCGTGGAATCAACCAAAATAGAGCCTGTGCCCCTCTCACGTGTCTTACTCCAATTACTGGTCTTATTATACGAGCTAATTAAACGTCATTTCATTTGGGCTATCTATTATCCAAAATGATTCTTCGCAGACTCTCTTCCTGTGCATTGTGTGTGCAGTGCAGGTGGATATTGTGTGAGAGAGGAATGGTCGTGGCTTTGTGTCTGTGGCAAGGTGAAGGGATGACAGGTTGAGAGACCTCACCCCAGGCTCTTTGGCACTGTCCCCTTGTCCCACTGTGCTCATGGCACCAGGCTGCCATTGGAAGCTTTTCAGGAGAGAGAGTCTACCCTTGGAACAGGTGGCCTACCTAGGGCTCATCTCCCTCTAACATCTCTCTTTAGACCTCTCTCCCACTTTTGAGGGGATTTTTTCCCCACTGCTTTTTATGTTTAGCCACTCTAGAAACAAGCGAGAACAGCTCTTCCCCTCAGTAAGCCTACATTTTGCACAGGGATGTTATTATTATTATCATCATGTTGTTCTAACCCTTTTCTTTTTCTTTTTCTCGCCTCAGGCTCCACCACTGGAACAATAGTGAGGCCCAAAGTGCACTACGCTAGGCCCCCTCACCCTCCCCCCGACCCTCCCATCCCTGAAGCCAGTGCCCTGGGGCCGGAGACGCGCCACTCTCTCTTCACGCCCCACTGCCTGACCCAGGTCGAGCTGGAGCACACCAAGCAGCGGCACTCCTTCCCCGACAGGCTGGTACGTAGCCGCAGCTCTGACATCGTGTGCCCAGGCCGACGGCCCACAAGCGACCCCGGCCTTAACCGGCGGGTTGCGGTTGAAGAGCGCGACCCTGCCGGGGCCTTCGCCTTAGGACCGTCCTCGTCCCCCAGCAAGGACTCCCTGAAAGGGGAGGTAAGGAGCTACAGCGGCACTCTTAGCATTAGACAGAGAGAGTTGCGTTTTTACTAATGCTGCTGAAGAACAGTTTTAAAATAATCCATTAGTTTCTCTTTTAGGGATTGTTATTTATAATAATATAACTGCTGGGATCTAAGTGTATCTTTGTAATATATATCCTAAGGTTGAGGACCGTAAAGACAGCGACGACGAGAAGTCGGACCGCAACAGGCCATGGTGGAAGAAACGTTTTGTGTCAGCCATTCCCAAAGGTAAGCAAACTTAGTGATTTTAAACATTCCCAGAGAACAGAGAAATGAACTTTACACATATAAAAGTGATCTGTTTGATCGCAGCTTTGTTTGTTAGTTGTGGAAAAAAAGTACTCTTAATCACGACCAACAGAAAATATCACATTTTAAAGAGCAGAGCGAAATCCAATTTATAATGTGAGAATGATGATCCATGTTGTCCACTCCATTGCTGATGCTCCAGTTGGAAAATCATGTTTCTTGTTGTTTGAAGTTACCTCAGAGACGTGTCCAGTCCTTTTTCTTGCACGTCTCACTGGCTGCAGATTTATATAGACTTTTCAAAGCCAATCAGTCATCAGAGGAGCTGTAGATTGTATGGCTGTAGCCCTCCCAGCAGTGCTGTCAGCCAGCGGCTAATGGTCATTAGATAGACCTTTCTGTCATCAGCACTGATAGATGACGCATCTCTTGTTGCAGTTCTACTCTACAACCAGCGCTCATACATCTGTCTGGGAAATAATGAGCTGTGCCCACACAGAATGACTGCTTATTACTCTTTGAGATAATGATGTTTCTTAAGTAAACATTACATTGATATTCATAAAATGGAGGACTGTGGGCACAAGGAAAAAGTAAAGAGTCGTAAAGCTAAAACCACCAATCTCCATCCAAACGTCTGTAGAGTCCATTTGTTTTTTGTCCTGTTGCTCTGCATGGTGACGCACAGTCAGTTGTCCGGCAGAGTGGCAGCGCGTGTGTGAAAGGCCAACCCTGTCTGTTGTGTTCCTCACAGTGCTGTATTGGACGGCTGAGAGTGATGTCCCAGGTAACGCTTCACGCTGTCGTCATTGAGCTAGCTTTCCTGCTGGAGCCAGCGGCTGCGCGCCCATGCTGCTTTGTAGATGTTGCCTTAGAGCTGTAGAGCTGTGATGTGACATGGTTGTAGCCTGAGTTCAAACGCCCACACTCCTCATTTATTCATCTGTTTAATCACCCCTTTGTCATTTTTGTTACAGTATGTTACCATTTTTCTATAAAGAGAATGCAGAATATCGATGTAGATATTCCACCCAATGTTTCCCGTGTGTGTCATCGAGTTTTAGACCCCGTGTCATCTTTGTGTGTCCTGTTCACACCTTTGTGTTAATAGGATAAGCATCAGTGAGTTGACCTGCAAATCTGCATCGACTGGACTTTTTTTTATAATAACTAGGGATGGGTATTGTTAGGATTGTATCGATATTACAACTCTTATCAATGCTCTTATTGGTTCTTTTTCATTTCTAAACATTTGCAGAAAGTTTTATTGTACCTAAAGTAATATGCATAGTAAGAGGGTCTCAGCCCCCGAAAGGAGATGCTGCAAATTAAATTACACCAAAACATGGTGTACAGATAAAAGAGCCGGTAATGTACAGCTTATCAATACAACTGTCTTTAAATAATTTAAAGATATACCCTTTTAATACTGGGTTTTGGTACCCATCCCTAATAATGACTTAAAGGGGACCTTTGTGATATTCTGCTATACACCAATGGTTTAATTCTCCATTCCAATATTATTTTGCTTTACTCTGAATAAAGTTATACCATTGACTTTTGGCAATGTATGATACCATACATCCTACATTGAGATGTTTTAATCTCAATACAAGCCATGACAAAATACCAATGTGGCTGTCAGCAGTCATTATCTGCTTGTTATCACGCAGTAGGGAGAGCGGTGTCGGTCCACTAATCACATGTCTCTCCTCCACAGCTCCGATAGCTGCCTTTCGGAAAAGGGACAAGCAGGAGAAGGACGACGTGCCCCCGGAGCGCGTCCCACAAGGTCTGTCCTGCTTTTCTTTAATTACACTACTGATTGGGAACAAAATATGGATACATACATAGTTTATATTTCTAAAACCCTTATCTAGATTATTTGAAATGTACATGTATCTGAAGTACTTTTGTGCTGTAACTCCAACTTCATTTCCAGGAGTATATATCTATGTTTACATATCCTCATATACAGGTGTATCACATATACACACATTACCATTTATATTTACCTCCACATGTATACAGCCTAAATACCTATCTGTACTTCTAATCCAATCTGTACATTTGTATTCTAAGCTTACTTATAAACAGTGTTGTGCTAGTTACTGAAAACCAGTAACTAGTTACCATTACTAGTTACTTCATTTCAAAAGTAACTCAGTTACTTTACTGATTACTTACACCAAAAAGTAATGCGTTACTGTGAAAAGTAACTTTTTAGTTACTTAAAAAAAGGGCTCCCATTAATGCCCTTATAGCCTTCCTTTCAGTACTGTTATTGTATTGGAGAATAATACAATCTGTCGATCAACTTGACATGCATTATATGCAATCTGGATTGCATCGATATTAGCTGGCTTTCCATTTTTGTATATTCTTTCTCCAGGTAGTTGGAAAAAGTTTTCCGTCCCATATGCCCGGACATGGTATCATGCTAACTAGCTCCCTGAAAGCGGGTGACTCCACTGTAGCAATAGCCTGCATGTGTTCTACAACATACCGTGCAATGGCTTTATCGACTTTTCCCTGGCTAGCAGTCCCTTGGTTAAAATCCAGCCGCTGTTGCTTAGGTGGAGGTGGAGTGGCGTTGGATGAGTCTCTGTGGTCTTAGCTACTAGCTTCGTCCCAGCATGTTGTTTTTGCAGATGTTTTAAGAGATTTGAATTACTGGTTTGGGCAGTAGATAGGATCTTTGACCCGCCAGGACACAACTTACATTTAACAGAAACTTTCTTTTCTTTGTGCTCGACAAAAGTGAAATAGTGAGAATATCTCCAGGTGGAGAAACTAGACTTGAGCTCCGCCGCCGCCATGATAGTCTTGTTAGTAAACAACACAAACACACCCACAGCCCGTCTCCGCATGTGACACAGGAAGTATTTAAGTACATTTACTCAAGTACTGTACTTAAGTACAGTTCTCATCTCTGTTCGCCTGGCTGTTGACTATATAAAAAAACTAACGGAGTAACGCACCACGGAGTAACGCACCATGTAGTAACGGTAACTGAGTTACTGAATTTAAAAAGTAATGCGTTAGAGTACTAGTTACTGCCAAAAATAACGGCGTTACAGTAACGCGTTACTTTGTAACGCGTTAGTCCCAACACTGCTTATAAATGCCCATCCCACACTACCTAAAAAAACACAACTATTCGAAGGATAAGAGGGAAAAAGCTTACAAAGTCTGCCCGCATTGTGATTATGAATTCAGTCAACAAACCCAAATGTGTTCAAATTATGTCATACTAATACTCAAACGTAGGGTGTTGGCTTTCATTAAAATACATATTTTCTCTTGGTGGGTTTAGCAGATGACCTGTTGCCCAGACAGAGCTCTCAGGCGCAGGCAGCTGAAGATATCCTGGACAAATACAGGAACATCAAGAGGATCAGCCCGAGCGATGGCGCCACAGGTGGAGCTTCTTACGATGGAACAGGAGGTCAGGATGAACACTCTTTTCTTCTATCTAGATAATACACACTTTTCAGTAGATACATTGAATAATCTTCCTGTTTTTGTGTCAACAGATCTTTGTGGTGATGACAACGTTCACGACTCTCCGAGAGAAGACACTCTGCAGAACATTTCCACAGACGACCTCCCAGACTCAGCCAGTCAGACAGCCCAGCAGCATGACACCAAGTTCTCTTTCAGGTCAGAAAAAACACAGAACCTAGAAGCAATTACTCAACACTCTAGGTTTCTTTGCAGATATGTTTAACCATTGCTGTTAATTACATTTAACTTTGTGTGTCTTCCAGTGATGCGAAGAAGAAGTTGAGGTTGGCTTTGTGTTCAGCGGACTCAGTGGCTCTGCCCATCATGCTTCCTTTAACCACACGAAACGGGCTGCCTGACCACATGGAATCTGAAGGTAGGCGGTTATTTTCTAGCTGTACTTGATATAAGGTACCTTGGTCACTCTCTCCATGGGGAGTGGGGTACAAGCCCTTAATGTTGGCAAGAATCCAAGCAGCTGAAAGTGTCCTTAGCAAGACGTCAACTCTGCAGCACCTTCACCTTCTGACCAACCTTTCAAGGTTTGGGGCAAGGTTGAAAGTGTTAAAAAAAACATGCTAGATATTTAAATACTCGTGTAGTCACATAGGTTAATAATAGTCCAGCATTCCTCACAGCAGGGACAATAGCAGGCAGAATCAAGTGACATCCTGTGAAATGGTCAACAGTCAAACCATAAAACTCAATCTTTGGGGCCATCAGTCACATGGTCAATGTGGCGGCAGCAGGTTGATCAGATTACAGCAGCCAGCCGTCTCTTTTTGAGCGGTGAGCAGTGTCGTCTAATGCTGTCTCCCCGCCGTCCTCTCGCTCAGACAATGAGATCGTCTGCTTCCTGAAGATCCAGCTCGCAGAGGCCATCAACCTTCAGGATAAGAACCAGATGGCCCAGATCCAGGAGACCACGCGCTGCGTCAGCCGCTTTGACGTACGCACCAGCAGGAAGCTGATGGCTGCCATCGCGGAGGATTACAGGTAACTGTGGAGGCCTGGAGAGTCGGTGCACGCTCACTTATGGCACCCCATGAGTCTTTCAATTTGTTCTCATTTCTCTTTTCACTGCATTATGTTGTTGAAAGGTCTCCTATTAGGGGTGTAACGGTATCCGTATTCGTCCCGTACCGTCACGGTTCGGACTTCACGGTTCGGCACATGCAGTCACACGGCGAATACACCTTTTTTTACGAGTGGGAAAAAAGTCTGTCACTCAGGGCAGTATTACACTATATATAATCCAGGGGGCGGCATTGCGCCTAAAAGCCAGCCGCCCGTAAATAACAAATGAAGAACAAGAACAAAACACAACAAAACGAACACAATACATGAAGAAGAAAAGTTAGCAGCTATGGCGAGTTCACACAACACACAGGAGCTAGAAGACCCACCTGCTTCTTTTAAATCAGGTGTGTGGGAACATTTCGGGTTCCCTGTGGACTACAACAATGATGGGGTGCAAGTTGTGGATCGGACGAGGACGGTGTGTCGGCGTTGTTCGACAGCGGTGCGGTATGCTAGTGGTAACACGTCAAACATGCTCAATCACATCCGAGTCGGTACTCAGTCCCCAGCGAGAGGGTTTTCTCGACGGCAGGTGACATAGTTACCGCCAACAGATCTGCCCTCACTGCTGACAACGTAGACAAACTCATCTTTTTGAAGAAAAACTTTAAAATAGAGTAAAGCTTGAGTGCCTTTATTTAGGCATAATGGCCTCACACACTCACAAAGTTAATTACACATGTTAGACATTGCTCCTGAAGGTACAGATTTTATTTGTATCATTGTATTTTTTATATTTTGACATCAGGAGATGTTATACAGTTCTGTATTGCCTTTTATTGATTGTGATTGAAACACTTTCTTATTATTTATTTTAATATTTTAAAGACATTCATTTTAGTTGTACAGCTTATTTAACCTTTTTGTTTGACATCAGCCATTATAAATAATATGGCCATCTGAGTGTGTGTGTGTGTGTGTGTGTGTGTTACTGTTTGTGGTTTGTTTTTAACTGTGTAATACAGTTAATGATTCCAAATGTTAGAGTTCCTTATTTTCATACCAAAACTTGCACTACTGTTAAAAATAAATAACAGCAAAAAAAATTATGCATTTGGGACTTTTCTTTGCTTTTCCTTGTTGTACCGAAACCGTACCGAACCATGACCCCTAAACCGAGGTATGAACCGAACCGTGACTTCTGTGAATCGTTACACCCCTATCTCCTATTATACTAATTTTAGGCATAAATTATAGCTCTCAAATATATTAAAAACATGTCTATGAAGTGTTTTGCTAAAAATACCAAATGGATCACTCATTCTAGCCATGCCTCATACCCCTCTATTTCAGCCCTGTTAGAGAAGTGCTGATTCCGGGTCCGTAGCTTAAAAAAAAAAAAAAACGAGATAATATCGGCAGCAAATCTGGATCAGCTCCGTTGTACCCCTATCTGTTTTGGGTAAGGAGGAAAAGAGAGAGGGTTTTGTTTTTTAAGACACTTTGTGAGTCTACTGACTCACACATATGTTTGTATTAAAGACATCAAAAAGTGCATTTTGCATGATAGGAGACCTATAAGGCAACTACAGAGATATAGCCAGCAATTCAGTGGCACTAATAAAATACAAATGTTTGTGTGTGTTTCCCTTTTAGAAAGCGGGCACCATACATAGCGTATCTAACCCGGTGTCGTCAGGGCCTGCAGACCTCTCAGGCCCACCTGGAGAGACTCCTCCAGAGGGTGCTGAGAGACAAGGAGGTGGCTAACCGCTACTTCACCACAGTCTGCGTTCGCCTCCTTCTCGAACACATGGAGTCCAAGATGCTTGACTTCATTAAAGGTATCTCTACATTTTCACTTTCCGTGTAGCTAAACATGGCCTTATGGACTTGTACGTCCTTCAGCTGGCAGAGTAGAGCGAATTCTGACCTTCCTGCCATCCTATTTTCTGCCGTTTCTGGCATATTATTTGTGTTTCACAAAGATTTATCCGTCTTAAAAAAAAAAAAGGTGGTTGTACCCTAAGATTATTTAAATATGAAGGTAGTTTATCCCCAAATATTTAAGTAACAGATTTAATGGAAAGCATGTTTTAATATAATTTAATGTGAACTAATTTTCAGACAAAATTTAGTGTTTTATTACATTTTTTGTATTACACAACATTATTTATTTCCTAGTATTTGATGCTTGTCTATAAAATACCTCACATCAAAGCTAAATCCACTTCAAACAATCCTATAGTTGCACAGCAGTGGTTGCAGCTCCGTCCTGTGCTGCACTTACATCTGTTGTTTCTCTTCTCCCCTGCAGCGTTCCAGGGGTGCACAGCATCGGATGACAAGACAGCATCAGTGGAGGATTTTCTGCGCTACTTGTACGGCGCCATGGCCCGTGATGCCATTTGGCAGTACGCGAGCGAGGACCAGCTGCAGGATGCCCAGATGGCTATCGAGCGCAGCGTTATGAACCGCATCTTCAAATTGGCCTTCTACCCCAACCAGGATGGAGATATTCTCAGAGACCAGTGAGTAGCTGGAATCACACCAGCACCACACAGCCTCACTAGGCAGTGTTCTAGTTTATTTGTTGTTTTATTAAGATTTAAACCTGAAATAGTGAAAGGACTTTGATACAGCAGTTAGTGGTAAACAAAGAAAGACCCTCAGCAAAGTGTTGTCTGTTTCTCGTGCACAATTTGTGCTTTTGACACCTGGTGAAAAAATGCAGAATACGAAATTTCACATCCTTATAATGTAATGAAATTAAGTTTCATAAGCAATATTGTTTTTACAATAAGTATGATTCTATAAACCATGAACATTTTAAACAATCCCCTTATCCTTTTAATGTTATTTTTCAAGGAGTTGAAGCCAGAGAATCAGTCGAAAACGAAAGAGCCAGATCAATTCTAATGTTAGATATTTAGATTTGCACGTGTCATACTATATGTCATAAGTTGTTTTGTCCACACAGGCTTTTCCATGAACATATCCAGCGGCTCACAAAAGTTGTGACGGCCAATCATAAAGCTCTGCAAATCCCAGAGGTATCCTATGGTCACATTTGTTTTAATATCAGTTGCGTGCCTTTTTATAGAAGAAGAAAATACTGTTTAAAGTTGTCTTGAATGTGTTTTTCTCTCCTGGTTGCAGGTGTACCTGAAGGAGGCTCCCTGGCCCTCCGCCCAGTCTGAGATCAGGACCATCAATGCATACAAGACGCCTCGAGACAAAGTCCAGTGTGTACTGCGCATGTGCTCCACCATCATGAACCTCCTCAGTCTGGCCAACGAGGACTCAGTCCCCGGAGCCGATGACTTTGTCCCTGTGCTCGTCTTTGTCCTCATAAGGGTGAGTCGGATCTTCCTTCTCTCACACAATCTGTTGAAAACGCATTCAGTAAAACTCGCATATTAATCTCCTATTGACTTTTTTTTTTAAATAAATAGAGGCTAAGCATAATTATGAGAAACAGTATTTCCCAAATGACTGCATTTTAACTCCGAGGCATCATAAAGTCTGCTATCTGCTAACCGGTGTGGATATTCTTTACATATTTACATATTTATGATTGTAATCCACACGGCGTTGCGTGAGCTTCTTCCAGCCGCTAATGTGGGCCCATCCCTACATCTCCTCCCCTCCAGGCAAACCCGCCCTGCCTGCTGTCCACCGTTCAGTACATCAATAATTTCTATGCCAGCCGGCTGAGTGGGGAGGAGTGCTATTGGTGGATGCAGTTCACCGCGGCGCTGGAATTCATTAAGACCATCGATGATCGCAAGTGAAGCAGAACAGCCACCTGTATGGGCAGACTGCGGGGGAAGGAGCCGGGAGACTGGGACACTTCCCAACCAACTGCTCCCTCTGCACAGCTTATGAAACCTGGCCCTCAGCCTGCTCTTTATTTGTATAGCTTGTATATAGCCAGAGACGTTGAAAGAGTACAAAATATATATTACTGTATGTATGTGGACAAATCCAGGTTTTAGCTGTGCTGAAAAAATGGCGTCGGGGGAAGAATTAGCAAGATGTTAACCTGATTTGGATTATTCTTTTTTGTCTCTTCAATCATCTTTCACGTTTGGGGTCTGTATTAGGAATTTTGCATATACATAATTACCAATATGACATTAAATCAACTTAAAAGATAATCCTATATAAAGGGACCAGACTTCCTTGATGTGATCACTGATTTTTTTTAAATTCCCCCCTGAGTAAGAGGGAAGAGCTTCCAATTAAATTACAATATAATGTTCATTAAATGCGTTGTAACGTGGGGATTTACAGTGCGTGAGTTACTGTAGGGATTTAGTGACTCGTTAACACTGAGATTACCTCACAATAACCATAATACTCATAAGGTAAGTGTGTCAAACATATAGGGCAGCTTTTTCATGAATTGTTTACTTCATCTTATTCCCAAAAACAAGTGTCGGTGATAATTTGGACATAAGGGCCCACATATTTATATGAAATAAAAATGTATTTATTTCTGTAATTCTATTGAATGCTTTTGTTTAATTTTTTTTTTTAAAGGTGAAAATGCACATCATGCCCATTCATGATGTCTGAGGCAAGTGTTGTATTTATAATAAACTTGTTTGAGTTAGGAAGGCACCTTAGCAAAGAGTAGGCGGGGCTGCTGGGGGATTATGATACAGGGTCAACTCATGCACAGAGCAGTGGTGGCATTTCTGGAAATATTGTGCCTTTGATGTGGGGCGCTCTGTACAGGTAGTTATTTTTGACTATTTTTCTTTTTTTAACCCAGCATAGGCATTATCCCCAGCCTACACCCTCCCCAACGGGCCAATCGCGTCCCACAGAGAAACCTTAGTCCAGCCCTCTCTGCAGGAGCATGGGCTTCACTGATTGTCATGGCTCAGTCCCTTTTACTTGAATTTGAACAAATATCCCCCTTTGGAAATGTAGGTCCTACCTCAGAGTTAAAACCGATGAGCCTGATTATGACTGCCTTGCGTTGGTTGTCAACCGAGTACTGGGTCATTTTTGCACTGGTAAGAAATAGTGAAACAGTAAAGGGCAGGGAGGGGAAGTGATCTACCTGCTGTGATGCTTGTTGCGTTCACATCACCCTTAAATTACACTTTGTTAGCAAACAAAGATGTTTTAGTTTCCAATCTTATACCGGAGATGCCACATGTGTCCGAATGGGCGTACTAGTGAACTATTGGATATTAGCTCTCTACCTCCTCATAAGTTCAAGAAAGGGACTCGTGTTTATGTGCACTTATATATATTTTTTTTCTTATCCCCATTTTGGCGTGCTGTGATATCCCAGTGTCATTGTATCTTTCCAAATGTAGTACAAGCATGTCTTTAATTATCCAGAAATGACTAAAACTCATCTCTCTCTTGAATTCCTCTGCTTCATTTTTGTGCACAGACGTGCCACATGTATTATAGTTTTTTCACAACCCATTACTTTTCACGGTAACCGACAGCACAATACACAGGATAGAAGAGCAAATAATCAACACTATTGACTTGTTACTGATTTCCTTTTTTCTTTTCATTTTATGCTAACGTGGTTGGTGTAGTATGTGAGCGTGGTTTATATATATAGTGAGTGTGTGTGAGATGAACGTGTGATTGGTTGACCCTCTGCCTCCTCTTGCATGAAGTCATTGACTGGTCTACATACTGGATCATGATATACAGTTTAATAGGATTAACATCTGCCACAGGCCAGTAATTGAACCTGCAAGAGGATGCAAAGATTCTCTTTGTGTCCGTGATGCTTGCATATCAGAACTCAATGATTTATTTTGCACAACACAGATGTTTTCCTGAGAAATTGACAGGGGGCAGTGCATTGAAATATCAATACGTATGCCCATTAACATAAGCATATTGTGACTACAGAAATGTGTTACTATCTCAATCTTCCACATTAATGGGCACATTTCAAATGTGATTGGATTGGATTGGTCTACAGAAGCACCAGATTTGAATTTGCAGTATACTTCCTTGCAGAGTCTGTAATCAATCTGATGAGAAAAACATGCACTGGAAAATGAAGTTGCACATTGCATCTATACTAATTAGGTTTATGTGATGTCACCTAAATCTGGAATACATACGGCACACATCTGATGAAATTATTTGGCCCTGGCTTATGTTTCAGTGTTTCCTCAGATGGCCGATCACAGCAGCTGCAGATGTCCCCAGTCAAGTACTGATTAAAACACCAGATCATTTACACACATATACACAAGGCTATAATGATCAAACTGTAATATAAGTTCTGATTGTATGCAAACCACAGGGTAGTTGTGTCAAGTGAATCGACTAAATTGTTAGTCTGTGTCAAATCGTTACTGCTCTGCTCCCTGGTCAATTGAGTCGAAAAGCTGAGCAGAGAAGAAAAAAAGAGTTTTACATCTTACATCTAATTTTACATTTTATTGTAAGCTTGCACAATATGACATGCGGGGAAAGCCGGTTTGTCTTTACTGTGATTAATGCATTATGTAATTCTTTAAAAACAATAAAAGAAGCAGAAGTTTTTCCTTTTTATTTTTTTATTCTTCTGTCCACTGCAAGGGGGATAATGTCGTACCTACTGTACATGATGTTTAATTATTCCGAGGCTTATTGGGACAGTTGTAGGTATATTTTGCCGAGAGTTTCAACGACAGAAGAGAGGGTCGGGAAATATATGCGTGGAATATAATTGTTGGTGGGGGCAGTGGAGCAGCATCTTCCAATCTAGCAGTCACAAATAGCAACCTCTCAGAAAACATTTCATTACTGCTGACAAGTGTACGCTGGATTGTAATTGGAGATATCCCCTCATCTAAAAGCCCTCCTTACTTCACCGGTTAATACTCGTCTTTTTTCTCATCATAAACTTCTTCACGGGGTGCTTTGTGTCCCCTGATGATATCTCACAATTGTTAATTTAAATTCAAATTTGGTGTGTGAAGTTAATTAGTTGCTTAAGCCAATGGCGATAGGCCAGATTTGGAGATTGGATCTTTCCACTATGTGGCACTTAGCTGATTTAAGATACAAGGAGGCTTGGTTTTTTGTTTTGCCTCATGCTGCTCCACATTTATGATTGTCTGATACTCTTTCGAGCGATAAACTAAACAAACATAAGGTGTACAAATGTATTCCAAATAAGACAACAGGGCACTGGAGTTTCTTTTTCAGGTGATGGCTGATGGATAAAGTGAGAAAGATTTGTATGAGTTTTATTGATGTCGTTCGTAGCTTGAAGACATAAACAGGCCTGAGGTCTCACCCAGATGGCTGTGCAGAGACAGATGATCAGTCCAGTGGGACTCGTGCATGACTTCACACGTTGGTCTGGTACTTCCTGGCTGTACAGTGAATTAGGGCCTCCCCATTCCCCTCCTCAACTGTACACCAGCTCAGCATAAGACAGAACAGTCTCATTAAATCACCCATATGTCCCTCCTGTAGGCCTCTTTATAAAGCTCACCCTCACTTAAGAGTTACTGTAGATTCCAAAGTAGAATTGCCACTCACGCCATGATGGAAAATAATCAATTGTTAACTTTGGGTGATAAAATATCCTCAAAGGTGGGCCTAAATTGAAGTGACCCAAGAGCTGGGACAATACAATAATGCAATAAAGCATGATTAAAAGTACATCACATTATTATTCAATAAGTCACTTTACCTGGAAATGACTTGTTAATAATATGTGTTAAATGTTTTCTCTATAGCAGCGGTTCATGATTTGCTGCCATATACACTATCACTATGCAGCTGCAGGAAGAATCACATAATCAGCACTGTTGTCCTCTCTGACTGTACTCTCGCCGGTCTGTACAGTGTGTGTTTCTCCCTCGGTGTCCTGCAGATGGCAGACGCACCATTCCCGAGGACGCTCTGCAGATCTGATCTGAGAGCGGCTCAGACAAAGAACACCACGGGGCACGACGGCTTGACATTTAAAACCAATGGGACTCGCTGTCTGGAACTGGATCTGTATTCTTCATTCGGGTATTCTTCAAATGAATAAATATTAGGATATAGTCTGTATTATTATTATTATTTTAGTAGTAGTAGAATGGACATTTGACACTTAAAGCTTAATGCAGAGGCAGATAAGTAAAATACTTTTTTTGTTTTAATACTTCGCTCATAAGAATGGTCTGTTGTTGCCTTAGGTTCTTCGTGGCATTTTATATCGTGAAAAGTGTCATCACGCGCGCATATCCTTCACGGTACACGTCCATAATGTAAATATCTCGTTGGGAGTTATTTGCTGTTGGTGGCGGGAAATCTTCACAAAGGACAGAATAAACAACACAAGGCAGCAGCACGTCAATTAAATTAACAGTGTGGAGCAGCAGGGGAGGGGGCCAAATGAACAAAAATGTCAAATACACATATTAAAACTTAAATGAAATAGCCGCAAGGATGCAGGCAGAGTAGGAGATTAAACTCAAAGGGATACCAAGTCTCTGTGCCTGGAGGTGGTGATACTGTAATAGATGCAAATAGTAAAAGTGAGCACCATTCTCTGTAATAATTTCAGCTTAAACGACAAAGACAAAGGAGATTTGTGTCTTGTAACAAATAACAAAATAGTTCTGTTTCATTATAGAGCACACATTAAACCATGGAAAAATGCTAACCCAGTCCTGTTATAGCATAATTCCAAAGGACAGATATATAGATTATTGCATCCCTTTGCACTTTTATTGTGGCATCAAACCTACTGGGTTTAGTCCAAAATAGTAGTAATAAATGACATTCCCCATGTCTTCCTTTATTGCTCACCACAAAGGATATCAATTAAGCAAAGGTGTCAGTTACAATGGCCTTCTGAGGCTACCACTCCTTCCTTATATTGCGCTGATATCATTAGAAAAAGAACAATTTTCACAGGCACAGCTAATCACCTGCGAGGGAAAGAGTGGGTGGTGACATCAAATTGAACCGCGGAAATAGAACAGGAATTAGATGCACTTAGCCATCAGATGTTAATGGCAGCAATCAACAGCCAATTACCCAGCATACTTGAGTACCTTGACAAGTGCAGGTGTACCCTACAACTAACACAGGCCTTTTTCATGCATTTCCATAAATTCGACAGTAAACTCCCTCCCTGATTGCGCATGCATGTTTCATTGAGGTTGCAATTAAGCAATATTGTAAGGATGGATGTGTCAAACATGGATCGTAAGAAAGAGGAAATTCCTTCAGGGCAAGTTGGACAACAATAACATAGCTTAACTGCATGCATGCAAATCAATGAAGTTATTGTTTACATTTCAACTACCACCTTTTCTCCCCTCATATTGCTTACGCACATTTGCTAGTTTGAACCTTTGTAAATCAATGTTCAGAAATGTGTTGGCAGACATTTTTTTTGTAGACTGGACAGTGCAGTGGTGTCACTGCCTGGCACAGCTCGCATTGTGAACATGATCCAGGCTGAAGATCTTCTGCTGATGCTGATGATCTCTGTCACTGGGGTGGATTTCAGGGCTCAGCTCTGACTGCTGCCCTGACAACTTTAGGAAACACACTCAGGGCACATACACATGTATTAGATGCACATCAGCCCTTGCACCCACTGCGAGGCCAGCGTCCCATATGACCCACTTTGATTATTCTGTCTTTAAGCAACAGGTGACGGGCTTCCCCGGATGTCATCTGTGTCGTTGGCCTCTGTTCAGAGGCAGCATTCAGGACCCAGGGAGAGCTGGCTGGCAACATGCCCGATCTACAAGTGAGCTGTCCTATCATTGACATCAAGTAAGCCCAACATGTCATGTCTTCATCTTGTGAGAGTTCAATCCCCCTTTCGGGATGGATCAAGCTCTCTGTCGTTGAAGAGAGGCTGTGCAGATATTTCCTCCTGGGAATGTCTAGAAAATTACCCTTGAGATACATGCTTAATAACGCTGCTTTAATTATGACCGAGAAGCAATACATTGCACTAAGTGTGTGCAATATGTATTCTACAACCAGTGTGATTTTAAATGTACAAACTGGAGTAACTTATATAATTGTATAATGTTACTTGTATACTGTAAGTGATGGGGGCTTTTTTGTATGTCCAGGCACATAAATCTGTTTTGTATGAGCCCTGCATGGCCTGGTATTCAGGCTACAGTCCATCTGGTGGACAGCACTGTAAGCTGCAGCGATGGCGAGCTCTGATCTCTGGAGCTGGTAAACAGACACCACAATGGTAAGGTAAGCAAGATCTAGGAAAAAGCGTAATGTGTGGAGGGGCGTTTGGTTTTAAAAATCTAAGCCTGTTTTTGAAAAGAAAAGCAATATTATAATTGAATAATCACTGCTTTTAAATTGGCATTATACCAATGATAATATGTACATTGAATGAATCTCTGTTCTGTTTTGTATTATTGTAGCTCTGAATAGCCATGGTTAAATAATAGACAGCCAATGACTAATAGCACTGTCTTCACATGAGGCAAACATATTTTACAATATTCAATATAATACAATATGACCATTGACAGTCCATTAGCTTTTAAGAATGACCTGTGCTTTCCCTCCTCTTTCTCCCTCTTCTATTTGTCCTCCAGCTACTTGACTTGTTCTACTTGACTCCTGAACCATTTTAATATCAGGCTGCCATGGGTTTCCTTCCTGTAAGCCAGCGTCTTCATATTTCTGTTTCTGCTCTCCCAGAACGAGAGATAAAAACTGAGCATGCTGTTGGTGAATTCTACCAGTGTATTAATAGAGGAAGTGACCGTGTTAATGGCCCTTTTAAACACCATGGAGAGTGTGCAGAGAGCACAAATGTTGAGAACATATTTTGGACTCATTTGACTATAATTTGTATTTAGATAAAAAACAACACCTGTGTCCTCCTGCTGCTAATTACAACATGCACAATTGTTTCCTTAAAAGAAATAATTAATACATGTATCTTAAGTGCAAAGAGCTATATTAAAGATGATTTTATGGATAGTGTTCAGCTCTAAATGCACATTTGCACAGACATAAAGTTTAATGTAATTGTAGTTGGACATTTTATTTTAACTATTTTTTAATTAATTTTATCTCTGCAAATGTTTCAAAAATATGCAAAATCTATCTTATTCAAGTGCAAGTTAAGTTTTGTTTGGTGCTTAATGCAAAAGCTAGTTAACAGTTCATATTAATCACTTTTGAAATGACATCGATAAACCAGCCCAACGGAAAAATGGCAATTAAGCACTTATTGGCCCAACATGATCAGTGTTGTCAGAGGTCATGGGCAGACATCAATGGCAGTGTGTGTGTGTGTGTGTGTGTGTGTGTGTGTGTGTGTGTGTGTGTGTGTGTGTGTGTGTGTGTGTGTGTGTGTGTGTGTGTGTTTAAATGCACGTGCAGTATGTGTGCTTGTGCATGTTAAATGTGGCCCAACTTTTTCTTCATGACTAACGGCCTCCATAAAAGATGGAGCCTGTCTCCCCGCAGCAAACCTCTTATGCTCCGTCTCTCTCTCGCTGGCACTTCATTGCTTACTCACAGAGGAGTCCACAATGCTATATATTAATTAAGGG